GTTATGAAGTGTGTGTTGTGCTGGTTGGTCTGATTTATGCTTCTTGGTGGTTTTGGAATACAAGGAAAACCTTGGTTTCTGTTCAAAATGATTGTTGTTGCTGGTTTGTATTGTTGGTTTTATTTGAGATAGTGCTTGCCATAGTTTTCTCAAAGGTGATGGGCTTTAGTTTGTTTTCCTTTCAAGACAAGGATATCTCGGGATTTATTGGTAACTCATTTGTTTGCTTTGCTTCAATCTTTACCGAAGGGAAGGTCCAGAAGTTTAGTTTCTTTGTAGCAATCAAAAGGGCTCCACTAAAAATTAAGGATGATTTAAGATGGGTGCCACCTGTATGTCATTGGTCTGTATTTGATTTTAAGAATTTAGTGTTAGTAGTTGCTGGGATTGATTGTTCTGATTTAAGAGGGAGGTTTGCTTCTGCTTTGGCTTTGGAGATTGGTCACTGGTTGACTGGAAATCTAGAGGATACAAAGCTTCTGGCTCTCTGTGTTGATTTTGCTCAGCTTGGCTGTGATTGGTGGAGCTTCTTTCATGAGAGCATGTTCCCTTTGGAATTTGTTGCTCTCTGTTGCAACTTAGCTTCTTTGGATGAGCTAAGGAGTTTTGTATGGGTTTGTGGCCTCTATGGTTGGCTTTTATGCCCCCTAATCCCAATAATTTCTTCTTTTGTTTGTTTGTTTCTCCTCTAGAAGGACGGTTAACTTGTGCTCATCTTTGCTTGCCTGGTTTTGTGATTGTTTTGGTGTGCAGCTTCAAGTGCATTAAGGGAGTGTGTTCTTGGATAGATTTTTCATCGTCTCCCCTTCTTTCTCACAGTTTATTCCAGGTGCTGCTATAGGAGTGACCAGATCTGTTTGTTCTCAGCTGCTGCTATAGGAGTGATCCAGTTTAGTGTTGTCTTTGGATGTTTCTCACGTTCCTGTTTCTGCTTTTTTTAGTTTTTTGGGTTTCTGTTGTTTTCTTTGCCTTTAAACTTTGAGTCGTTCTGTTTTGTTTTAATGATATTATACCTTTTCTGACAAAAAAAAAAGATGTTATTACTTGAAGTTGGAATCATCACAAGCGCCTTTTAAATGTCTGGTGAATATTTAATTTGCACCTCTAACAGAAGACTTTTGATCCCCACTGCCAAAAAAAAAAAAGTTCAGTGTAATGATATATGAAAAGTAGTTCTAATATATATATATAATAATAGTTTATAGGTTTTAGTTGTTAATGTGTTCTTTCCAATATTAGATTTATATTAATTGATGCTGTCCTGTGAATAAATGCAAGAAATGTATAACGACACATCCTTATGCTATTTTTTAGGATAAGGATGATGCACGCCATTAACTATTTGCAATGGAGCTTTATTTTTTAAGGAAAATTTTAACGGTTACATTCACATTTTCCCATCTTTTCTGATGATATGAGCTTAACAAGTTAGTTGTTATCTGTTATGATGACAAAGCTGAAAACAAAGTAGGCAGATAGTTTTTTTACACAAGCTAAACTAAAGTTCTGTTTGTTTGTGCTAGAAAGTTTGGAGCTGTTTTTGCATCTATACTGGTCTCAATATAATATTCACTGCATTGTACTGCGTTCTCTTTGGATAATAGATATTTTCTATTAATTTAGAGCATTTAATTTCAAGCCTTTGATGGGATTAAGTGGAAAGTTGTCTTAAAAGGCTTAGATTATTGATTAAGATAGAAGTAAACCATCCTTGCATTGTTGCTGAAATTTTCGAACATCAAGAGCTCATTTTTATGTGTGACAATGTGTAATCTTTGTAGTTCAACACACTCATAAACGCCATATTCTCATTGCCGGCCACAGTGGCTTTGATCGTGGTGGTGTTCCTTGACAACACGCTCAAGGTGGAAAAGTCAAAGAAAGATAGAGGGATGACATGGTGGGCAAAGTTCAGAAAGTTTAAAGGAGATAGCAGAAATGAATAGTTCTATACGTTGTGATTTTTTCCAGCTACTTGATATTCATGAGAATGAGAAACACAGATATATAAATCTTTAAGTCATGGCAGGTATGATGAGTAATATTCTTTCTTCACAACCATCCCTCCATTTTTTTTAACTTGGTCCCACTTAGGATTACAAAACATTTGGATTCATGCTCTGTAGATTCAATAAAGAGAACATTTGTGTTTCTAGCTTTAGTACCTTTTCAAAACTCTCAACTCTCAAGACTATTTCTAATTTGTAGTTACATTCTTTTATGGAACTTTCTTCAAGTGTATCAATCCATGAATGTAAAGAATCCAAGTTTCTTATATATGTTTGCTAAAGTATACTTTATTAGATGAATAAAAAGGGGAGAAAACAGCAGGACTTTGGTTTATAATAAGTGGACTATGAATGATATTTTTATTTTTAATTTAAACACAAGGAAGTTTTGTCATATTCTTTTTATAGTTATCACTTATCACTGTTCCTTGTGAAGGCCGGATGTAATCTAATTCTTGTGTTTTTATAACATAATCTAATTCTATATGATCATGGAATCTAATAATGCTCAAATTAACAATATAAGATATCATATATTTATAAATGAAACATAAAAGAAAATCATAACATACGTTGTTGTTGAAATGTCCAAATATATACAATAATTTAGTTGTAATGTAACTAGTTTATGTCTTGCCTAACAATATTTTTTAAAATTAAGTTGCATGAATGAAAATTATGACAATTAGAGTTATCAAATAAATGGCGGAGCTCACAACTCGAGCTGATGTGTTTGAAATTTCTTAAAACAAAAGATAATAAAGTATACATTAGCAAGACATAAATTAGTTACATTACAACCAGATAACTTATTTATTTTTCAATTTCTGTCTTTGATGAAAAATATTTTAAATTTATCTAATTTTATTAGTGTTGAATTTTTATTCATAAAATTTACATAAATGTTCCCTTTAATGATATTTTTCTCTTAAAAATTGTTTTAATTTTATACAAAATGTTGGCAATTGTTGAAAAATTTACAATTATTTACAGTCATCAAATTGATGGACTGGATTATAAAGTTTAGAACCTTCGAAACAGATTCGTTTACAATTTAAAAGTATGTTATCCTTTTTTTTCTTTTTTAATTTGAGAAAGCTCTTTTGGAATGATTTTTTCTTCATCAAAATGAATATAGAATTGTGATTATATTTTTTTAAATAATAATAACTATATTACGAACTTGAAATAGAGAATAAGATAAAAAATCATTGATTGATACAATATTTGAAACAAAATAAGCAGTGGACACAAGAGCCACGCAATTATTGTATTTTGTGTACATTGTTGAATATAATCACATAACTTCAGAGTAAAGTTATATCTACATTTTCATCTATTTTCAACACAATAATACAAATCCAACACATTTTCATAGACATAAAACTCAGTAAAACACATACGCAGATAAAGAAACCATTAGAAGATCCAAAGCTCAAATCACTCCAGCATTATCTAACTTTCTAATTTGATCTCCATGGCTGACCAAGGGCAAAAACAATTAATTAGCAGCCTAATCAAAATGGGACATAGACAAAATAAAAACCAATAAACTTATTTATTCTACACAATTTTCAAAATTTTCCTTGGATAATGTGTACTAAACTACAGCTAATTATGCTTATAATGATGAGAAATAATGTGTTACTACGAATGTGAAAATGGTGGAAATTAATTATTTTTGAGTTCTATATAATTATTCAACTTCTAATATTACCATAACATGTCATTTATTTAATATGAGTACATTATTATGATTTTGACATGACGCCTATTATATAGACACGGAAAAATTTTTGGGAGTAATTGCAATTTCTTATTAAAAAAAATAGAGCATGTGTGTGTGGGTGTTAAGATAGAATTTTTTTTCTTCTAATAAAAGACCTTTTTTTTTCCATGTAACGATAGAAATTGTAATGCACAAAATTATTTCATTGATTAAATATGATAATAGTTTGAAAGAAAGAGTGTAGCTACAAACCTGATGACGAGGGCTTGTCTTCTAATGGGATTTTTGATATGTTTGGACAATCTTCTATTGTTATAGTACCAGAAAGGAGGTTGGATTCATAACCTTCATAAATCTCTCTCAACTTTGGCAAATTACTGAGCTTCAAATAATTCAGTTCAGGAAACAGCCTTTGATGATGATGAGCAGCTACTTCACCTTCATAAGCTTCAACAACCCCCTCCAATTCACAGCAATTCGCTATATATAATTTCTTCAATGAAGGACAATGAGATGCCAGAGAATATGAGAACACCCTTCTCACTTTGTGACAACGAGATATAAAAATGGTCTCAAGTTTGGGGAAGCAACGAGTGGGAGTAGTAGACAGATTCTTAAGTGACTCTTCACAAAATATTCCCTCCCATTCATTGCATCCGTTTACATCAAGCTCCCTCAACTCTGGAAGGCTTGTAACGACAGCAACAGTGAATATATTTCTTAATCTCGGGCATTCCAACAGTGTAATCTCTTCAAGTCTATAGAAGCTCAAAATTTGTATGGGATCTTTCCAGATATATTCTAATTCCGGTAGATCTTCTAACCATGTAGAACACAATTCTGACTTTACCACTCTCATTTTATCATTCTCATGTTTCTGTGAAGTAAATATATTCAATGATTAGATGAAAATTCAACATATGGATTATGTATACACACACATGAACCACATAAATTTAATGGCGCTGTAACATTAAAAAGTCAACCCCATTCATTTCACATATTCATAAAACTGTAATAAGATAAGCTCAGTAAGATGAATTTTATTAAGTTAGACTTTTCTTATACATATTATTGATGGTCCAATGTGAAATATATATAGACACACACACACACAATGTATGATCTATAAATATGCATCGACGTTGATTTATTTCAAATCAAACAGTCTTGGACAAGTCATACTTTCCATGATAAAGAACCGCTCACAAAAACAAAAAATGATTCCGCAACCAAGCATTAATGGGAACATTGCCAATACTTCAAGTAATTTCCAGCTTGATTTCATGATGAGAAGACTGCTTCATAGACACAAAATATTAAATAAAATTTGAAATGATTATTGCTTTTCGTTAGAATATAGTCTTGCTACTCGTATATATCGTTTCATAGTAAACACAAATTTTCAAATAAATTTAAAAAGTAAACAAGAGGAAAGGAAAAAAGGTCCTGTAAAAAGAATTTTCTCACGTCCAAAGAAAATGAGAAAATATTTCCACTGATTCATTCTTAACAAAAACAACCATGAATAAGTACTTTCTGTAATAAGAAAGAAGTTATTTCTCAATTTTATGTTTGATAAATAATTTAAAAGACATTTATCAATTTTATCCATGAAAAATCACAAATAAAAAAAGAAATAGTGAGAGAAAACACTCACGTGAGAGAAGATCTCTCTCAATTTCGGCAATGACAACAAGCGTAAGTACTTCAGTTTGAGAAGTGGTAGCCGATCCCCATATGATGCTTCTTCAACAAGCCTCTCAAGTTCAGAACAATTTCGAATCAAAGGTTGCTGAGAGATTAAAGCATGCAATTAGACATATTAAATTGAAAGGAAAACATACAAATTTTAATAGCAATAAAAGATGCACACTAACAAAGACCTTTTTAACGTCCACAGAAAATTTAACAAATTGGTAATTTATAGATATTATATCAACTCCAACTTATTCTAAATAAAATACAGTCCCACATAATTATTCGCTTGACAAAATAAAAATAAAAAATAAAAAAATGTTGTTCAGAAAAATAAAATTAATTATTTGACAAAAAAATTAAAATGAACTAAAGAGATTAAATTTTTTATCAAATTCATATGTGGAAAGATAAATTAAAAAATGCAGCATGCAAATAATATTTTGTAGTACTGAAAAAAGAAAAAGAAAAAGAAAAATTTGAGCAGTTTAATCTTTAGTATTATAATGTAAATGCTAAATAAAAATTCTATGAAAAAGAGGTAGGTGAGCGAAAGAAAAATTTTATCAAAATGTTTGAAATCTCTAGTGAGAACTTCTATAGACACCAATTTATATTATGCATTATAAGTATTTTCTGAATTGATCATTTAATGGCAAAATAAAAATAATGTACTTTTAAAATTGTGTTAACATAATCTCAACATGTGTTTTACCAGACTCAATCAATTTTTAGAGTAACATGGAAAATGTGTGACTGGCAAATATTGTATATACTTTTTACTACATGATTATGTTAATTCTCTATTATAACAACTATATCACATTTAATAAATAATATATATCTTTTTTTAACAAGAAGTACACATATTAAATATTTCTTGACCGACAAGAATTATTTGAACAAAAATACTAATATTAACTTAATTTTTAGCAGAAAAAGAAAGAGCCACAAAAAGGTATTTTCTCACATCAAAAAGAAAAGAAAAGCATGGCAAAAAAATTTGAAAGGGAAAAATATTTCTCTTAAAGTATGTGTAGTTTTTATATAATGCATCAACACTAATTTATTTTTGAATTAAAATAACTTTGAATAAGCACTTCCCACAATACATACCTAATAGCAAAAACAATATGAAAAAGTCATTTACTTGACCGAAATGCAAAATACGAAATGTAAAATGTTACTGCATCTGACAAATAAAAGTTGTTATATATTTTTTAAAAAAAAGAAAAAGGAAATAATATTTTATTATCATGAAAATAAGGAAAACTCAGAAAATAGTTTCATCGTGCAGCCTGAATATATAGCCAAGAAAATTTAACAAAAGAGTGTCAAGAAAGAAAACTAACTACATAATGAAGAAAGTGCAGCAAAGACTTGCAGGTTGGAAAGCCAAGTGGATCTATTTAGCTGGTAGAACGTCCCTCTATCATCCAATGTTGGTGGAGGTTTGACGATGGTTCAGTCAAAAAAAGGGTTTCAATTGCTTGGTCCTTCTCTTAAGAACTCAACTGGGAAGGCTTCTGCCCACTTAGAATAGAAAGAATAGGAAGACAAACTAAAAAGAAAGATGGACAGAAAAAGAGAGAAACCTTACCCCGAAACAAGGGACTAAGGGCTAGGGGGTATGAGCATAGGGGTTACGGGAAGACTTCGACGGCTTAGAAAGAGAAAAAGTACTCGCTCACTGGAGCAATAAAGAAAAGAAGCGTACGGCTTACTAAGACACTAGGCAATGAGCCCGCATACACATGAACTCACTATAAGACTCACTTACAACAATGGGAGAGACTGAATGCTTAGAAGAATGGAAGAAAAGATTCCAAGAACTACAGTAAGAAGGAAATCGAAATCCAGGGGAGGTCCTATTCCCTCTCTGTAGATTGTAGAAATTTTTATATCAAAAGGACCTCATAGAAATATTGTCTTATTCCTTATCTTGGTGTCAAGATTTCTAAACCGAAGTCTTTGATATCAGACACTGGCTTCTATGAATTTGCAAAGATGTTCAGGGGACCAGGTGTTGACCTGTCACCTATATCTGTTAAAATGATAAGGTCAGCTAGATTTTCAGTAGCTCTAATGCCGGTTATGAAGCAGATTGGTTGCTATTCGATTCGTATTTCTATGTGATTGAGGGGCGCCGGTTATAGAGGGTATTCTTCTAAGCCGACAGACATCAATCCTAATTAGTTTCGTCATATTTTTGTCGCGTACTCACCCAGTGGCATCTGTCCACCACCCATTCAGGTATAATAAAGTGAAGTCAAAAATAAAATAATTACTGTAGAAGTTATGTTTAATGATTATACAAATATATATTATACGATAACAAACAAAAAATTTTCAAATAAAAGGGAGATGTAAATTAAACATGGCTACTTGAGCAAATGCGTCAACATATATATATATGGATTATTATTATTTCTAATATGCAATGATTCAAGAGAGACATTGCGGATTTGCTGGTAAAAAAAAAAAGAGAGAGAGAGACATTGCGGATGAGACTTACCTGTGGATGATCTTGCATATCATGAAGTAGTGGATCCCCATGTGCAGCTTCTTCACCAATAAGCCCCTCAAATTCAGAGCAACTGTCTATGTATATGAACTCTAGTGAAGGACAATGAGATGCCAGAGAATAAGATAACAACCATCTCACTTTGTTGCAATTATATATGTTAATCTTCTTAAGTTTGGGGAAGCAAATATTAGAAGAAGAGAGGTTTTTGAGTGATTCTTCACAAAATATTCCCTCCCATTCCTGGCAGTTATCTACTACAAGTCTTCTCAACTCTGGAAGGCTTGCAACAATAGCTAGAGTGAAAATACTTTTCAATTTTGGACAATCTGTTAGTGAAATATCTTCAAGTCTGTGGAGGCTCACAATTTGGGTGGGGCCCTTCCAAATATATTCCAATTCTGGTAGAACATCTAATTTTAATTCACTCAACTCTGAATCCAGCTTTAGAGGTTCTTGGGCTTTAATAGATTCTTCATCATCTTCTATTCTTCCTCTGACTTGGATTTCCATTATACCTTTCTTTTTTCCACTCCTTTCAATTTCTAGACTTTTCAACCTTAGAAAAAGGATCAAGGATTGCTCATTTTGCAACTGATTGAACCTTTTTGCTATAACGCCCACATAAGCACTATCATTTTCCTTTCCCTGTAAATGTATTAAAATTAAAATTATGAAATGGACTGATTATAACAACTTGCTTTTTACTCTAACTAGATTTGAGATTAAACCTAGTAAGTTTCTTATATTATATATTAATTATTGCCAACTATTGCTAGTAAATAATCCTCTTTAACAAGTAGGCAAATATATATAATAACAATAAGGACTTCTTACCAAAACTTGAAATGAAAATATAAAAATTTTAATAGCAATAAAAGAGACACGGTAAGAGAGATCTTTTTAAATATCAAAAGAAAATTTAAGAAAAACATTTATCTTAAAATTTGGTATCCTAAATCATTATTTTATTGACAAAAATATAAAACAAAAATTTAAAGTGCTGTTCGGAAGAATGAGATCAATTTTTTGATAATAAATTAAAATGAGCAAAAGACATTCAAGTTTTTATCAGATTCTTGTGTGGAAAGAAATAAAAAATACAATTTGTAAATAATTTTTTTAATACTCCAAAAAGAAAGAGAAAAATACAAGTAGTAGTGTATTTTGGTTACAATACATAATTAGTAGTTAATCTTCCCTTTAACATTATGCAAAGTTCTCCAATTATATATGATTATGCATGTATCCTATATATTTTTAAAATATTATCATTGAGGTGCACTGCAAACTATATTTTATACTGAGGACTAGCAGTAGTACAAAGATATAGAATTTCATTATACAAACATTATTATATAGTTAAAAATCTTTAAGTCAAGAAAGAAACGACACTAATTTATAATATATTAGCTTCTTTAATTACCTTTTACAATTAATATATAGATCGTGATATAAATTATGATTTACCAAACTATTTTATGATAACAAACAACACTTTACTTTCATTTTGAAATCGATATATTTTTTTTGGGCCAAAATTTTGAAATTGATTTCATGTATTTTTTAAATGGTGATAATTAACATAATCTCAACATGTATTTAACAAACGAATATTCTATATTATATATTTCTTGACCAACACAAATATTTATTTGACCCAAAATTGAAATATGAACATACAATTGTTTAAGACAAAGAGAGGCACCGTTAAAAAGTGTTTTTTCACATCCACAGAAAAGCATGGCAGAAAAATCCAAATGAAGAAAGAAAGAATATTTTATATATGGAAAATGCATCAATGCCAATTTATTATAAATAGAACAACTTTGAATAAGTACTTCCCACAATAAATACTTGATGCCAAAAAAATTTTAATAAGAATTAATATGAAAAGTACAAAGCTTGAAGAAGCAATAGTATTTTGTTACCTTGAAAATAAAGCAAAACCCAAAAAGTAGTTTTATCGTGTAGCCTACATACGGAGCTCAGAAAACTTCACAATAAAAAGAGGCTTATACAGTTACAATGAACTCAAGTCAAAAATAAAATGGCTATTATACCTTACTAAAAATATTTTTTAATATATATTATACGATTGTAAACATGGCTATCTATAAATTAAAAAGAACGTAGAGGCAGAATAAATAAAAAGAAAAATAACATGACTATTGTTGCCTATTGACAATATATTTTTTTTAATGCTTATATATACTGTTCGATCATAAGCACAGATTTTTCAAATTAACAAAAAAGGTAATATCTTCAATTTGTTATCGGGAAAAAAAAAGGTAGAGTGAGCAAAAAGAAAAAAAATCACCTACAAGTGAAATTATTAGCAGTTGCATGATTCTAGTTTTTTTTTTCCCCAGCACAACCAAAAGGATATCAAACTTATGCGTGTCAAAAGAGAGAAGCAAAAAAATTCAGTTTAAAAATTAAATGAAAAGATAAATATTTTTCATCAAATGTGTGACTATGGACTATTATTTCTAATATGCAATGATTCAAGAGGAATTTTGCTTCATGGTCAAAAGAAAAAAAAGAGGAATTTTGCGAATAATACTTACATATGGATAATATTACTTATCATGAAGTAGTGGATCCCCATGTGCAGCTTCTTCATCAATGAGCCTCTCAAATTCAGAGCAATTGCTTATAATTATTTCCTTCAGTAAAGGACAATAAGAAGCTAGGGAACAAGACAATAGCCATTTCACTTTGTCACAACGATAAATACGAAGTTTTCTCAACTTTGGCAGGCTCGTAATGGTGGCATGCGAGAAGATACAGATTCTCAATTCAGGACAACTCCGTATCCATAGCTCTTGTAACATGGGGAGAGAGCAGCCAATAGACGAATCTTGAAACACTTGTTCAAGACTATTCATTTCAAACAATGTTAAAGTGATCAAGCGTGAGAATACTTGTTGTGTTTGAAGAATGTTCACATCAGGGTTCTTGATGATGAATCTTTTCTCTTGACAGCATGATACCACTAAGTGCTTTATCTGAAAATTTGTATCTTTATAATCCCACTCACAGTTATCTAGCCAAAGGTGGTTTGCTCTAAGAATGAGATCTTTCATTGATGCATTCAAAGTAGAGACTCTAAAGCCTTGTATACATAAAGCTCTTAATGCTTCATCACAACCATCCAAATATTGTTGAAAAGAGTCATCCAAATATTCATAAATTAATCTGGAATCATAGATAACATACCTCTTCAAATTTGAAAGAGAGAGAATTTCTGGGATGACAGATTTGTCGTCCCAAAAGTATAATTCTTCAAGCTGCTCACATCTTCCAATTACTTCTAAAGGGCTTTTCTCAATTTGACAACCAAATATATCCAAAAGTTTCAGCATTTTCATATCTACAATTCCAGTAGGTAATTCATCACATCGAGAACCACGTAAGTCAAGAATCTCCAATCCTTTAAGTTCACCCAAAAGAGATATGTCCCCCAAATTTTTCCCTCTAAGGCATAAGGTGTGAAGATTAGTTAATGATACAATTGATTGTGGAATTGAACAAAAAGTTGGATCCCACCTCCGCAATTCCCACTCAAATCCATGTCTTATGAGTGCCAAGACTTTGAGTGACTCCATTGCTCCAATATCTCGAATGAACCCATATGGTTGAAGTAGTAGAATCTCAAGTTTTGGAAAATGCAATTGTTTAGAGAGCTCGAGATCCTCATCCAAATTCCACAATGACACTGCCTTTGTATCTTCCAAACTTTGGTGGTTACCAATTAACATCTCTGAAATTTCTTGGTTGTCCACCAGAACTTCTTGACATTGCTCCTTTGCAATCCACAAGGCTACATCTCGAACCACATCATGCAATTTTACATGTGCCTGCTTACTGGTATGCATTAACAAAGAAGAATCTAACAATTTCTCAATGTTAGCTAAAACCCTATTCCTTGTTTTCTCCATTGTGTAAATTCTTTCACCAAGCTTAAGAGTCCCTTTGCCAAAACGAATTAAATCCTCTATATGGATTTCATGATCCTCAGGAAACATAGAGCACAATATGAAGAGCGACTTAGCTAGCGGACTCGACAAATTATCATAACTTACTTTGAGAGTTACATAAGGGGTCTTCAAATCATCTTCAATATCCAGTGGTGGGGGATGTCGTAGCCTTTCTAATGTTGATCTCCACGTATGAATACTCTTTTCTTTTAATGTGCTTCCAACTGTTACAATTGCTATAGGCAAACCCTTACACTCATCAACAATCTTCCTTCCGATGCTATCGAACTCATTCGTTGACACACTAGTTGTGTTAGCATGCATCTTGAACAAAGCCCATGCCTCTTCCTCTGTTAAGAGAGACAACTCAATTTTACTCTCACAATCCATAGAGACACATACATCTCGAAGGCGAGTGGTCAACAAGATATGACAACCTCCAGTGGTTGGAATTCCAATATCTTCAAGCTTTAGTTTGCTCCACACATCATCCAGGATTATAAGAATCTTCTTATTTTTCAATCCTTCTGACAGCCTTTGTGCTTTAGTAAGTTGAGTTGGCTCTTGAAGTTGTAAGCCTATTTGCCCTGCTATTTCCTGCTGAATGTTCAGAATATTTAGGGGTTTAGAAACAACTACCATGATGACCTTGTCAAAAAGCTTCAGCTCATCCACTTTCTTGCCCACTTCTTTTGCCCAAGTGGTTTTGCCTGAGCCCCCTATACCATATAGTCCCACCATCTTGTTTTTGCCATTTATAATTGCCTCCAAAAGACGATTATAAGTTGATTTCCTTGAGTTGAAAGCCATAAACTCTTTGGAAGAGAAGTAAGTAATGCCAGGAAGTTGGATCAGTTGGGAAAATGGCTCAAAGCTAGAATTTTGTTTGAGATCTGTCATTTGCTTAGCTTTATTTTCCATTCGTTTTGCTAAAGAATATCTGAGTGACACATTAAAACACTTGTTTGGTCCTCCTTCAAGCTCTTGTTGCAGCTTTTGCACCTCTTCTAGGATTGCATTCACATCGTCCAACCACTTCTTCACGGATGGCATTATTTCTTCAGTTTTTCGATCAGCTTCTTCTTTACGCTTTTTCACGTCTTCTAGTTTTGCCTCCAGCTCTTGTTTTGCTTTCTCAACACCTCCAATGAACTGCTTGAAGCAAAACAAATAAGTAGCTCCTTGTGAAATTGGAGCCACCAAATATTCTGCAAGCTTTGACCCGATTGATATCACAATCTCTGCCATCTGATGCAATAAAACGCAATCACATATACTTACTTAATGTCGCTTTAGTACTAATAATCTCTCATATTATAAATATAAAATCAAGTAAAAAGAGTTCATTCTGCTGTCACATACTTTTGCTGCCAACTAATATAAAATCTAAATAATGACATGAAAATTAACAATGCAGAAAGACGATAACTGAAACTAATTAATTATAAGAGAGTACAAGAAAAAATAGGAATTCTCAAGTTATACCATACCAGAAGATATTATAGACAGCATTGTAAATTAATGATTAATAAATACTCTCTAAAAATGGAGAATTTTTTCTTAAACAAAAATTGAAAGTATTTCCTGCGATTTCCCAAATATTGAGCATCAGAAAGTATAACTTAGGCCCCAGAGTATTGTAACTTCACATAGTTATAGAAATTATTTAAGCAAAAAAAATCATAAGACGTAGCAAACAACTAAAATGAAAAAAAAAAAAAAATATAAAGCATTTATTCAATTAATTACCTCAAACTGTACAGTCAAATTAGTCTGGAAAGGAAAATGTTTCTCCGAAGCGAGCCTGGAATCAATAAAGAAACAAACAGTGATTCACGTAATTAAGCCTATGACATTATGGATCTTAAAATTTAGAATTCAATTTCTGCAAATATTCATTCTCCTAAATTTATTATTGTGAAGTTCAAAAGAATGAATCGAACAGATTTGCAATTTTTTTATACTGCTCTTTCACCAAACTTCAAATAAAAAGTTGGGAAAATTACCCACAGGTTCCGAAAAAGAAAATTAAACATAGATAGTTTTCAAAATATTTTGTATTTACAACTTTTAATATGAATCAATGATTCGTGGAAGGATGATGATTTGGTTTTCTTCTGAAAATACACTAAAAAAAATCTATCAGCTAATAATTAAATATTTATACCGCTGTTTTTTTTTGTTCAATTGATATAAATATCTAAATAAAGATCCACAATACATATTAAATTAATAACGACACCCAAACCCAATAGAAAAAGTAGAAACATCACAATAAAACTAAGAGTTTTTAGATTATTCTTTACTTTAGGTAAAAAAATCGGCCTGGGCGTTCAATCAGAAAACTGGCAAATTGGCCTTCAGTTTGGTCAAGTTTGCTTGTTAGACCCAGTGACAAACGGGTTTAACCAAGTAGCCACCAGGTGGGATGGGTGATTATCCGGTTTAAACTTTTTTACGTCCTAAAAATGCATAAACTGTGAGAAAGGAGAAGATTTACCGAGAAAAGAAGGTAGAGGAAGAGGAAAAATAGAAAGAGAAAACAAACCTTACTGTGAGAGAATTCCTAAACATGCTAGAAAATGAAGTGAAGAAGCATTTTAGCGTGGAAACTAAAACGCATGGAAGAAAGATAAAAGGATGATTCAACATTCAAGGCTTTACCAGGGGGGCTTATTTGTTGTTGAAGCTGTAAGAGAGAAACTGTGAGAGAGAGGGGAGAAACTAGAACAGTAAAAGGTAAGAAGGAAGATGACAGAGATAATGGAATGGATGAAGTATGGACAAATGAAAGAGAAATGAGGAAGGCAAATGCAAATTAGCTGAGAAAGAGAAATGAAGAACTGTGAAGCGGGTTCCAGGTTTGCTATTTTATTGTGCTTGCTGTTTGTTCGTTGTTCAAAGAAGAAAGAGGAAAACTGCTCATGATGCGTGTCATGGAGAGGAAAATGGGAAGCAGTAACGTGAGAGAGAGAGAGAGAGAGAAAAAAAAAGATATGTATTTTAATGAACTGCAGATTTTTGTCTCAACCACCTAAAAATATCAAACATTTAAAGTAGATATGTATTTTAATAATTTTGACTGCTACAATTAAACATTTAAACTGTTGGGGAAAAAATAAACATTTAAACTATTTTTATAGTTTCTTAGATTTTGTTGAGTGATTTTTATTTATAAATGTTGTTATATTTTTTTATTGTCAATTAAATTATATTATTTTAATATGACCAGTCTGACTCTGGCTGGACCCTGATCTAGTCTATTGTCTCAACCGGTTTAGTGATTGATCCGGTGTTTTATTTCTTATCTTTGTCAAGATATCAATTCATTTGGTGATTGAGATATTATTTCCTTACTATATTCATGGCAAATAATAAGAAAAATAAAATATAAATAAAATAAGTGACTAAATGGATTATTATGATATTTGTTACTTACCTCAAATATCATAATAAAGTTACACGAATAATGCAGAAATGCCCTCCCGAGTAACTCTTAGGGATGTTCTGCTGTACAAAAGTAACAAATAACAATTCATGCAATTGGTACAAATACATGATATATTAAATTTTTTTAAAAAAAGTTTAAGTCTTAAAATTCATTATTGCAATTTTTTTGGCCTGATATTATTGCAATTATTGAGGAACTAAAAGGAGGGAAAAATAAAGTTCAATAACCAAACTTGTTATGAAATGCAGAAAAAATAAATTCATTCAAGAATAAATATTCAGTTAATATAAATTCATCATAATATGACAAAAACATCTGATAGATTTGATGTTTAATATTTTAATATTATAATATTTGATAAAATTAATTTCAAAGCCAATAAAAAATATAATTTGATTGAAAATATTTCAGGAGCCAGTGAACAAAAAGGAAGGTGATCAGAAAATGGTATTTATTTTATTTACATACTTATGTTTTGATATGATTAATCTATAAGATCAAAATGATTAGACATAATTCTTCGATCTTGTCAAAATATGAAAGTTAAGAAACAACATTCTGCATGATTATACTGTCACAGATTGAACACACACAAATCCAATAAATACTAATTTACAGTCACCTAGTGATAGGGGTGAGCAACAAACCTATTACCCGCCAGGCAGCCCGTGACCCATGAAATTTTTGCCCGTTTGAGCCCTCCCAATTAACCCAAATAAGAGATTATAAACGGGCGGGCTTAAATAGACAGGGTAGCCCATTAAACAGGTTAAGCTATGGGTAAGATATTAGGCTGCCCATACCCGCCCATTTCAGTTTTAATTTTTTTAAAATATTTTTATTCTTCATTTAATTGATGATATTGTTTCTCATTCATCTTTTATCAAACATTTATGCTTGTCTAAACTTTTATTTTATCCTTTAAGTGAAAGTTGGAACTTTCAAAGTTTATGAGACTTTTTATGATTGGTGACTATTTTTATAATTTTATCAAACTTTGATTGTTTGTGACTCTAAGTGATGTTGTGTGATTGGATATGGTTGATATTATGTGATGTTATTTTATATTTGATTTGCTATTTAGCATGCAAAATTTATTGACAGAAGGTTACATATACAAAGTAACTATGCTGAAAAAATTACAAAAAAAAAAAGAAACATAAATGGGTTACCCCGTAAACTGGTCAGCCCAAACAGGCTGCCCCATAGCCTATTTAATAAGGGCTAAATAGGCTGCTATCGGATTATGGGTTAGCCCATGCCCGTTTATTCATAAAGGGGTAGGCTAGGGCCTAACTTTCAGGCTAGCCCACCCTGCCTATTGCTCAACCCTACTTGGTGAGAACATCTAATAGATTGTTTTTTATGTTTAATTTTCTAATATTCATAATTTTTCCCGATAAAATTAATTAAAGAATCAACATAACAAAGGTTCTCCAAAGACAAT